TCCATTGAGACAGTCATATATTTTCTCTTTTAATATATTAATATTGAAAAGTACATTAACAGATCTTTCAATGTTGAATAATCCTTGTATTCCTAAATAAATATTTCTTGGTCATGATGTTTTATTCTTGCTGAATTTGAATTCCTAACATTTTATTTAGGATTTTTGCATCTATCTTTATAAGTGTTTTTTTCCTTGTGTTATTCATTTTAGTGTTGTCAGAGTTGTGATAACCTTAAAAATGCGTTAGGTAGTTTCTATCCTTTTCAATGTTTTGGAACAGTTCATATAACTCATGGGTTATCTGTTCCTTGAGGGTTTCATAGAACTCTTAACATTGGGTTGGTATTTCTTTAGGGATGATTCTTTCATAAACTTTTCAATTTCTTCTATATTTATTAGTCTTCTCAGGCTTTTTACTTTTCTTTGGGTCAATTTTGGTAAATACCAACATTTACCCAGAATAACACACAGACAGAAAATCTTCAGCCAATATTTTAAAATTTATTAATGTAAAATCATATATAATATTCTCTTAAATATTTGAAAGCCTCTCTGCATCTGTAAATGTCTCCTTTCTCAATTTTAATGTTCAGGAATGTCTTACATGTTTTTCTTGGTCACATTTGCTAGATTTTCTATTTTATTGTTATTTTTAAATAATCCATTTTCATTCTTATAAATGTGAGCACTGAGAATTTGTAATCACATAAACTAGTAGATGGACATGAACTTTTGCTATTGTAATGCCACTCGATTCTATGAACCTCTTCTGAATAATATGCCAAAAATCACATCATAATCTCTCATCAAGACATTAAAATTTTTTTTCCGTTAGCTGCCAGTTCAACTAGGTACTCCTGCAATTTTGTTACAAGCAGAGAATTGGAAAAACTTGAATTGCAAAAGTATTTATCACCTATATTGGTGTCATTAACTCTCATTTTCTGGGCAATATGCCCCCAAAAGTTTACTAAGACTTGTCAAATGACTACTAATTATGTCTCTTACTCTCTTACTCAGAGGTACCCTATATAACCCAACATACTCAAAAATGGGTGAGAAAAATATTGTTCATTTTAACACTCTTTTTCCAATACAAACCTTTTTTTTTTTACCGTTCCATGAGGTTTTTAAAAACAACTTTATTGAGGTGTAATTGACATACAATAAACTACATATATTTAAAGTATATAATTTGATAACTTTTTGTTTGACATATGTATATATCTGTGAAATTACCATAATAAGTAAGACAGTGGACGTATCCATCATCTCCTATATTTTCCTCATGTCCCTCTGTAATTCCTCCTTCCTGGCCTTCCCTGCCCCATCCCTCTCCACAGGTAACCATTAATCTGCTTTTTATCACCATAGATTCAGTTGCATTTTCTAGGGTTTTGTATAAATGGAATCGTCAGTATGTACTCTTTTTTATCTGACTTTTTTCATTCAGCATAGTTATTATTTTTATTTTTTTGTGAGGAAGACCAGCTCTGAGCTAACATGTGTTGCCAATCCTCCTCTTTTTGCTGAGGAAGATTGGCCCTGGGCTAACATCTGTGTCCATCTTCCTCTACTTTATGTGGGATGCCGCCACAGCATGGCTTGACAAGCGGTGCGTTGGTGCGCGTCCGGCATCTGAATCTGTGAACCCTGGGCTGCCGCAGCAGAGCACGCACACTTAACCACAGTGCCACCAGGCTGGCCCCCAGCATAATTATTTTGAAATCATCCATGTTTGATGCACATTAATTGTTCATTCCTTTTTATTGCTAAGTAGTATTCCATTGTATGGCTATACCTCAGTTGGTTAATCCAATTTGTTGTTGGATATTTGCATTGTTTCCAAGTTTTGGCTATTACAAATGAAACTATTATGAACAGTCAGGCACAAGTCTTTGCATGGACATATGCTTTCATTTCTCTTGGGTAAATACCTAGGAGGAGAGTGGTTGAATCATATGGTATGTGTGTTTGTTTAACATTTTAAAAAATTGCCAAACAGTTTCATCCCCATCAACAGTGTTTGAGAGTTCCAGTGCCTCCACACCCTTACCAACGCTTGCTATCATCAGTCTTTTTAATTGTAGCCATTCTAAAGTGTGTAGTGGATCTATTTCCCCTCTGCCCCTCCCTGCCGAGGTCACATTTTTAATTTGTAAGATTTCCAATTCATTCTTTTTTGGGTTGAATAAGCCTCACCTCTTTGAAGATATTAATTATTCTTATTTGAGGGCTTATTCAGTTAGCTCTGCTTCCTTGGGTGTCAGTTCGTCTCTTTGGGGAGTTTGGTGCCAAAGCAGCATCGCTGAGTGTGTGGCTAGAGAAGCTGGGGTAGATGCCCTGACTTCTCTCTTCTCTCATCCTCTGATCTCCTGTCTGTGCCTTCCTTTGATTGCAGGAGGTCCCAGCAATGTGGTCCATGGGGTCAGCCTCCAGAGCTGGGAAGTGGGGAGACAGACAAACAGGATCAGCAGCACAGCCCTCTTCCAAGCACTCTGTGTGTGCCGTCACCTCCAGGAGGTCCATGACAGCCCGAGGAGGGGGGTGTATTATCATCCTCATTTTACAAAGGAGGAAGCCCAGGCATCCCCTGATCTGTGACTCTTCATGTTCTTTCACACTCCAGAATCGACTTCCGCTCTTCCCTCAGCCTGATACGCTTTCCCTCCTTAGCTCACTGCTTCTTATGTTGCCAAGTTCCGCTCAACTCAGGTCTCCTGCGATCTAAGTACCCTCAAGACCCCTAGAGAAAGGGCTCTGACTTCTCAAAAGTGCTGTACCCACATCGTCCCCAACGTTTCATTATGAAAAATTTCAAACTTACAGGAAAGTTGAAAGAATTGCATAGAGAACACCCATGCGCCCCTGTGCCCACTTCTCCAAAGCACCTTCACACCATTGTCCATTTACTTGTCTATATCCTCTACTAACTTGTGAATGCCTTGAAGGAAAGGGCTGCATAGGATTTGTTTTTTGTCTACAGAGTCTAAAGGGGCCTAGGGCCGGCCCCGTGGCTTAGCGGTTAAGTGCGCGCACTCCGCTGCTGGCAGCCCGGGTTCGGGTCCCGGGCGCGCACCAACGCACTGCTTTTCCGGCCATGCTGAGGCCGCGTCCCACATACAGCAACTAGAAGGATGTGCAGCTGTGACATACAACTATCTACTGGGGCTTTGGGGGAAAAATAAATAAATAAAATTAAAAAAAAAAAATAAAGGGGCCTGGAACCCAGAAGGTTGTCAGTAAATGTTGGATGAATCCATAACTCACAAAGCATTTGGTTTTTCCTAGCAAACGAAGAGGGGGAATTTTATTTATTGAATGCCTCTGGGGATTTTCATACGTTGTGTCAGGGCATTGCATACATTATTTCACCAGAGCCTCACAAATCAGGTGAGGCAGGGATTACTGTCTCTGTTTTACAGACTAAGAGAGGTTTCATAATTTGCTCCCATTGTATCCCTCAGGGAGTTGGGATTCAGATCATCAAGCTGCCTTCAAAGCCCATGCTGGTGAGGTTGCACTGGCTCCTTCTCCATAGACTGGAGGCTACTTGGGGCTGGGGACTGTGTTTTATGCATTTCGAAATATCCCAGGACCTGGCAACTAGCAGGTATAATACATATTTTTTGAAAGAACGAATGAATGATCCTTTGGTGAATATTTTCATACCACTGGAATTCACTACCAGAATATGGCATTCACTGCTGGAAATTCGTTCCCTACTGGAATACAACACCTGAAGGGAGCTTGTCCTTCACCTCAACCAACCTCTTCACTTAGTAGATGAGGGCTCTGGGCCTGGAGGGGCAATGACTCAGCCAAGGTCATGCAGGGAGCCAAGGGCAGAGCCAGCCTGCTGACTCCCTGTCCAGTGAGCTTTCTTTCCCTTCCTCTCCAGATCCACCCGAACATTTAGATTGGTACCACTTGCTAAGCCCAGAGCCCGGAGACCCAGAGAAACTGCATTTCCTAAGAACCTCTCAGTGTCTGTGGGGGCCTATCCAGGCACCTGCTGATGGGGACTTTCTTCTTTCTTCTTCATCGACGGTTCCATGGGCTTCAGAGGCTTGAAGCTGCACGTGAAATTGTGTTTATATACTTTTCGCAGGAGAGGATCCAGAGTTTGCATCAGGCTCTCAAAGCAAATACAAAAACCGTGACCCCAAAGAATGGGTGGGGGAGCCTCCCTTTCATGTTCTCTCCAGCGGTTCCCCGACTTCTTGATTGCAGAGACAAATAGAATTTTCAAGAGAATATTAGGATGCAAAGTAAGCCCATTTAAAAGAAATTAACTACCATCACAACACTATCACATCATAAAAGAACGTTTTAACCCCTCCAAACCAAGAAGGACGAATTCTACAGGCAGAATCATGGCTTCATAGAGATTTTCCAGGAAGGTTTGCTGAGGAGGAAAGTTGGTCCCAGCAGGAGCAGGTCTCTTGGTGGGGAGGTGAGAGCAGCAGACCAGAGCAGCAGGCTGTGGACGGGTGTGTCCTTGTGTCCCTATGGCTCCGCACCCAGTAAGGTCTCTGTGAATGTTTCTTGAGTAAAAAGAAACTCTTGAGCATCTAATACGTGCCTGACAAATTGCTTCTACCCTCCCAACCTCAGTTTCATCATCACTAAGATGGAGTTGATAACGCTTCCCTGCCCCAGACACCCTCTTTGAGCTCAGGCAGGATTTCCCAGCTGTCCGCAGTGTCTGGGGCAGGACAGGCATCGAGCCATAAGCGAGGCCCCTTTTGAACACTGCTGTACCCGACACGTTTATAGACGCTTCCACATTAGGCCCTTTCCACACATGAGCACACGTGTGATCTGAAACCCTGATTTAGCTGTTAGAACATCCAGGCAACATGTGAGGAACTGGAGACTTGAAGGAGAAGACATTTGCTCAAGGTCACTTAGCAAATAAGGGCATAGCCCACCGCACACATGTGGTCTGGGAAGGCTCTGGGTATGCTGTTCACTGCAGATGGAACCAATAACAGCCCTTCACCCAGTTTTGTTGATACAACAAAGACAATAAACAAGTGCTTTTAGGAAAGAGCCATAATTAGGGAAGAAATGACCAGAACATCTATTCATTGAACCTTTTCAAGGAAAGCCCTGGGATTATTTTCAGATACACTATAGATGAGAGCCAAGAATCAGCTACTGCTGACCCAGCTGGCACCCCAGCAGCACCTGCTTGGAGCACCGGACGAGAGGCACGAGGGATTTCGTGGTTTATCAGCTAATTTGTGTGGTTTGCTTAATAAGCACATTTGCATGGTTTAAATGGTTTCCAAAGGACTTGAAAGCAGTTTAGGTTCTTAACAAAGTTATAGAATTCCCTGCCATCTCATTTGCCCTGTGAATTGGTTCAGCAAACTATATTTTTGTTTTGTTTTTGAAATCATAAACAGATGTCTATGTTCAGACTGCCGGCTCCAGCTTAAACACAGGCTTTCTATTTCTCCTCTGCCCAGCTTGCTCTTTAAGGCACAGAGAGGGAGGTTCTAGCCAGGCTGGAGTCCTGTCCCCCCAGCTCCCTCCCCCACCCCGCATCCCCTGAGCTGCCTCCAGCAACTGGCTCTCCCTTAGCTGTCAGCCTCCTGGGGGAGGGGAGGACCCTTGGGAATAGAAGGAATGGCTGCTAAGGAGCAGGGCCTTCTGGGCCAGTCTGCATGGCCTTCACCAAGACCCCCTCCTGTCCTGCCTGTGGGGTCCTTACCTGTGAGCTGAGGGGGTTAGAGTGACAGAGAGAAGGAGGGTCAGCATGCCCAGCACGTGCCTGACACAGAAAGACGCTCAGTACACGTGCGCTCCCTACTTTTCCTTCAAGCTCCTTGGAATTCCCACTCCAGCCTTCCCACCCTCTTCTGGTCCAGAAGGTGGGAATGGGAGCTGTTGGGCTGGCTCAGTGAGTGCCCCGGGGAGGGAAACCAAGTGTGCCGCTTGCTCTGCAACCTATGGGAGTCATTTCCAAATGCCAAGGAGAACACAGGGGGACGGCCAGGCTAGGCTGAGAACTTGCAGTGCAAGATGGACCAGAGTGGAGGGAGTGAGGAGCCAGAGAGAAGGGAAGGCCCCAGTGAGAGCCCCTGCCCTGGCTGGGGGGAGAGGAGGGATTGAAGGTCCGCAGTAGCTCTCTGCCAAGGGAAGACAGATTGGGGGGTGTGGACTGGGAGCCAGAGCAGGACCCACACCCTGGGCCAGTGGCAGCAGACAGCCCTCGTTTGAATCTCATCTTTCTTCCCAGCACTAAGCAACTGGGGGACTTTGGGCAGGTTATCGAACTTTCTTAGCCTCAGTTTCCTCATCTGTAAAGTGGAGCTCTTAGGAAAATTAAAGGAAATAATGTGTATTTACACAGGGCCTGTCCCACAGTAGTCACTTAAGAAATGGTAGATAAAGGTAATTCAAACAATAAACCCTGAAGTCTCATCCTCACCTTGACATTTATTCTAAGTTTGTGCCTTTTTATGCACCTGTGCCTGAGGGTGGGGGCACCTTGGCTGACTCTGGTGGGAAACCCCTTCCTCCAAACCTGTCGGCTCACTACTCATGGGCCTCAAATTGTTTTGAGGTCAAAGGGGAAAGAGTTGGGGTGGAGTTGGCCTTTCTGGGTGGAGGAGGGGTGGGGGGCTGCTCCTCTGCAGGGGAAGCTCTCTCAGAAGGGGAGGACGGAGGAAGACAGCTTTGCCTCCAGCCTCAGCCCTTCCCAGCCCTCTTCCTTAGGAGCAGGGCTCCAGTGCTTTCTCCCACTCTCCCCAGTCTCATTGACCCCCCACCCAATCACTGTCATGTTAATTCACTTCCATCCAACAAATGTTCTCTTGTTTGTGAATTTCCCTTTCAGAACAGGCTTGATGGGAATTCTGAGATGAACAGGCCATGGCTCCTCCCCTCAATAAGCTCATAGTCCTGTTGGGGGTGGGGAAGACATCTCAATAGTCATTCATTCATTCAACAATGTTTACTGAGCACCTACTATGTGCCAGGTCCGTGCTAGGGGCTATGGAGACAGTGATGAATACGGCAGAATGAGATAGCAGGCCAGGCAAGAGACTACCGAGGCCCAGTAACAGGTGCCCACCATTCAGCTTCCTTCACCGCCGCCTACGGGCTGGGGCCCACTTCTCTATGGGGGAGCTCTAGGAGGAGGGCGGAGTGGTGGGCAGGGCTGAGTCTTTGGCGCCTGGGGAGGCTTGAGTCGTCATAGCCCTGCCCTGAGGTTGAGGATGGTCTCCCCAGTGCTGGAGAGCTGAGCTGGATCCGTGTTCAAGACCTGATTTGACAGGTGGGAGGGTGGGCCCAGGAAGGTCAAGGCAGAGGCTAGCTAAGAACCTCGAGGCAGGCTGTGGGAAACAGTTTGGTGGTCTCCGAAAAGGTTAAAGAGAACTACCATAGGACCCAGCAATTCCACTCCTAGATATGTGTCTAAGAGAAGTGAAAGCAGGAACTCAGACAGATATTTGCAGCCCGTCGTTCACAGCAGTGTTATTCACAACAGCCAAAGGTAGGAACAACCCAGATGTCCATTGATGGATGAATAAATTAACAAAGTGATATCTCCGTACAATGGGATATGAGTCAGCCATAAAAGGAATGAAGTCCTGACACACGCTACAACATGGATGATCCTTGAAAACATGCTTAGTGAAAGAAGCCAGACAAGGAAGCCAAATATTGCACGATTCCACTTATATGAGGTACCTCGAGTAGGCAAATTCATAGAGACAGAAATACTAGAGGCTGGGGGGAGTTGTGGGGAGAAGTTATAGTTTAATGGATACAGAGTTTTTGTTGGAGGTGATGCGAAGGTTTCAGGTTTAAATAGGGGTGATGCTTGCACAACGTTGTGAGTGTATTTAATGCCACTGAACTGTACACTTACAAATGGTTAAAATGGTAAATATTATGTTCTGTATATTTTATTACAGTTTTTAAAAAGTGAGTGGCAGGTGGCATGGAGAGATTGCACCCCCGAGAATATCCCCCTAAAGTGAGGCCTCTTCAGCCACTTGAAGGCATTGAGTTGAAGATGGTTGTGAAGACCATGAAGGAGAGACAATGCAAAATACACTCTGGAAGCTGCCGGAGTCAGACAGTGGAACTGTGGAGACGGTCCAGAACAAACGTGAGGGGAAGGGCCTCGGCTTTCTGGGATACTTCATTTCTAAAACGGGCATAAGTAACTCCACCTCATAGGGTAGCTGGGAAGACTAAATGCACTAATACAGGTATGGTCCTTAAAACACTACAGTTAGCACTCAAGGAATGTTACTTATCAGTATTTCATTTGTGGTGTTAGAGAAAGATAACAGAAGTGAAGAGGCGAAGAAAGGGAGCGAGGACTCTCTCAATGACTCCCTCTTGGAAAAATGCCTTACAAATGAAATCACGTGAAGTCCCACGTTACCACCGCAGAGGGACAGGCGTGAGCAGTAACCATGTCCTCGCTTAACTACTGCTTCCCACCCGCGGCAGGACGTTGGGCGAAGGTCCCCAGTCCTAAAGGTGCTGATTCCGGTGAATAAAGAGGAAAGGGAGACAAAGACGTTCCCCTGGGGTCAGCCTCACTCACGAGGGTTGAGTCTCACAGGGGGTTTGGGTTTCCCAGGGGAAAAGCCAGTGTCCTGCCAGCAGGCTGACGTCAATACTCTTTTAAGATGAAACGGGAACCAGCTGTTATGAAGATTAACTGTGAGCCCAGATGTGCAGTCAGAGCCCCACAGTAAACAAATTCCGATTATACCCCACAAAACAGCAGCAGCTGTTCTGGCTCTGGCTGGCGGGGGTTGCATGTCTGGGCTTCTGGGAAGAGAAAGGCAGAGGGGGCCAGGCTGCTTCCAAGCATCGGGAAGGCGGTGCTCGTGGAGCACGCTTGGGGATCGGATTCAGGTGAGAGGGCTGTTGGGTCCGTTCTGCCACGCCCAGTGGGTATCGGGGACTCACGGCCTGTGGAATCAGGGCCCAGCCCCTCCCAGCTGGACAGCTGCGCAGAAATCACTGTGCCAGCCCCTCCCATTACAGCTGGGGACCCTGGGGTCTGGAGAAGGTATAGTGTGATTGCGATGTACTCAAGAGAACTGAGGATGGGGCTCAGTCGAACACAATCAAGGTTCGTAGATGGGTCTCTATGGCTAGCCTGGCGTGCATGTGTGGCCGGGCTTGTTTCATTTGTGGCCCGGGCTGGATGTCAGTCCTTGGCTGCTCTCGAGGGTCCTGTCTGTGATGGTGGTTAAGCTTTTTGTGTGTGTGACACTAACCCTAAACACCCCATGAGAATCTCACCTTGTGACCCTGGGCTCAGTTGTACCAGATCCCCTGTCTTCCCTCATCTCGAACAGTGAAAAGCCAGGTGGACGCTCAGTCTGCCCTTGCCCGTGTGTGTGGCCACCTGGGCTGTGGAAGTCTTGGCTGGAAAGGACCTCGTCAGGCAGTGGGGCAGGGGTGGGGGTGGGGAATCCCATGTGCAGGTTAAGGCGGTGGGCCTGGCCCTTCCGGGGTCATAACCTGCCTAGGCCAAGTGGGCACCAGCTGTGCCCAGAGAAAGAGCTGCCAGCTGGAACGGACTCAGTTGGTGACTGGGTCTACTGAGACACAAGAAGTCTGGGTAGGTAATAATCAAGAGCCATCACTCACCTTCCATGAGAGGTTCTCATTTCTGTTGTCAGTAACAGAGAAGAGGGGCCCGGCCCAGTCCCGTGTTCACTTGCACCCTGGCGGTGTGTCCTCTCTGTGGCTCCTTCACAGGAAAAGGAGTGAGGGGCAGTGGCTGCCTGAACTGGAATCAGCCTACTGGTCCTTCTACCCAACCAAGTCGGAGAGGGGCCCGGAGATTTAGATACACAGAATCCCTGAGCCACGACCGGGGCTGGACATTGTAAGGAGGCAGGTTTCTACATAACATGACAGCTCATGGTCAGAACCTTCCACACGTAGAACAGCTACCTCCAGAGACAGTGAGCTCTCTGCCTCTGGGAGAGTTTGAGCAGAGGCTGGAAGGTTCCTTG